TTGTTTTCTCTAAGTATAACTTCATGACGTTATTTAACCATTGGAAATTCCTGCTACATGTATCATCATGACTTTCAGGATGTACTTTGGATGGTTTTCTTGTTATCCAGCTGGAGTTTATTCTCTGTGACTGCTGCTAATTGCAGGTCTTCTTTCCTATTTACTTTAGGGTGCAACAGGGTTTTTTTGGGGGGGTCTTTATTGATTTTTCATGTCTGCACTCCCTTCAGCATATCTATTTCTTTGGAGCTCAGTGATGTTTTTAGGAGCAAACATTATTTTAAAAGTTAGAGGACTGACAATTTTGAGAATCTAAATGACTTGGATTCTAATTGGCCTGAATTGGACATTACTTTTCAAAAGCCTAGAACTGATATTTACTGTAATCTGGATGTTGAATGAAATTGAACTTTCTTCTTTTGAATCTATCTTTACAGTTATACAACTGTATCAATTGACTTATCTATATCCTTTATGTAGGCGGGGGACCTGAGGGGCTAGATTTAGTTACAAAAAGAACATAATGCACAAAATTCACAGACGTCTAAACCTTAAAACTAACCACAAAACATAGAAACAGAAGCACAAGGAATCCTGAGCACAGAGATGGCATTTTGTTAATAGCAGGCTCTTAAAATGAATGAGTGAACTGGAGAAGCTTAAATAGGGGAGAGGATGAGTATGGGATACAGAACAGGTGTGACAGGGAGCACAGCTGAAAGGAACTGAGTTGGTGAGATGAAGATTAATGAAAGTGAAGGGAGTGGAAACACAGCCAATCATAGGAGGAAACCCGAAGCAGACACAGAAAGACAAGAAACATAGGGAACTCTAAATAGACTGGAAACAAGGGAACAATGTCAAACATCCATCCATTCAGTTTCTATACTGCTCATTCCTCGCAGGGTCGCAGGGGGGCTTGAGCATGTCCTTCAAGAAACTACGCAAGTGGTTCAGTTTACCCCGGTCAGGTCAGTCCATCACAGGAACACACAGAGACTCAAAACCACACACACTCGCATCCACTCCTATGGGCAGTCTGGAGTCTCCAGTTAAATTAAAATGCATGTTTTTGGATGAGGGAGTAAGCCAGAAAACTCACAGACACATAGAACATGCAAACTCCACACAAAATCTTTTTATTCATTAACAGAGCAAACAGGAAGTGAAAAAAAAGGAAACTTTAAAAAAGTCCATAAATCATTACATAAACTACTTTTAACCAGAACAAACAGAAACAATCCACAAAAACCAATAACCCTGAATTTCTGCTTACGGGCAATAATGCATGAAACAAATATTTGTATCCAATTAATATTTCACTTAATTTTGTTCTAAATTGCAGGTGATGCTGATTCGTCTGAGGATGGAACAGCTCCCGAGGATCCAAATGTGAGCATAAATCCACACTCAATAATTTTTTACACTAAAAAAATTTAAAACCACACAAAAGTCTAATTTATTGATTGAGCTCCAAATCACAGCAGATTTAATCACAGTCACTCTGAAGATGTTGTTCCATCCAAGCAAATTAGAAAATAATCTATTGTGATACATTAAACCTAATCAGTTCAAGTCCATTAACTGTTTAAATCCTGATCCAAGTAAAAATAGAAAATGGTCAATATTTTTTTTACAGTGTGATAAGTCAATTGGGCGGCACGGTGGTGTGGTGGTTAGCACTGTCGCCTCCCAGCAAGAGGGTTCTGGGTTCGAATCCCGGGGGAACCAGGACCTTTCTGGGTGGAGTTTGCATGTTCTCCCTGTGTCTGCGTGGGTTCTCTCCGGGTTCTCCGGCTTCCTCCCACAGTCCAAAAACCTGCATGTTAGGCTGATTGGAGATTGGGGAAATTGCCCTTAGGAGTGAATTTGAGTGTGAGTGGTTGTTGGTCCTTGTGTGTCTCTGTGTGGCCCTGCGATGGACTGGCGGACTGTCCAGGGTGTACCCTGCCTCTCGCCCGTTGACCACTGGGATAGGCTCCAGTTCCCCCCGCGACCCCATGAGGGAATAAGCGGTATTGATAATGGATGGATGGATGGATGATAAGTCAATTTATTTGTTCATTCATTTATTATCTCTAGTCTTCTGCCTGCTGTTATCAGGTCAATCTGACTGTGTGCAAAAGCGTTTGGAGAAAGTTTTTACCTTTAAATGATGCCAAAGGTTTCAGAAACCGTGTGAATCAGATATGAAACATGTGGTTTTAAAGGGTTAAACTCCAAATGAGTCCAATAAACGTAAAGTAAAAATAAAACAAATTCCTCTTAAAGGAAACCAGCAGATAGTTCAGAAGATTTTTGCTGAACTGATTCCTGTTGTTAGCCAGAACCACGTTCAAACCTCCATTAGCCCTCCTGCAGTCTGGGCCTATAGAGGGAGGAGAGGTGCATCATGGGAGCTCCCCCAGCAGAACAGCCTAAACTTAACTAATGGAACAAAATGCAAAAGAGATTCAAAACCTGAACCAGAAACATGAACTTAGGAATCAGGGATGGGATTACCATAGAAAAAGACAATAGTGATAACTCTGTCATACAGTAAAGATCTGACAAGAAGAAGATATATAACCAGCCCGTACAGATACAGAGGAAGTGATTACAGAGAGATGGCAGCAGAAAAGAGGACAGGAAGAAGAGGAGCTGAAGACCAGAACAAAAGGAACCTGAGAGACTGAGAACCAACAGGATCTAAAACAGAAACCAGGAAGAGAAACTAAGATTGAAACAAGGATGAACAAAGAAAAAATACAAAAACAAAGCAATCATCATAAAGGATAAACGAAAAACTGGAAAAATAAAAACGCAAACCAAAAATCACAAAGATATACTTTCTGACATATATAGTGTAAAAAAAATAATGAACCCTTTGTGTTTCTGAATTTAAACCCTTGTCTCATTTCTCACTTGAAGGCCCGGCTACATGAAGAAATACAAATACTGCGAGATCGTCTGCCACCAGATCTGATTGAAGGTATCCGCATGATTAGTTCATTCTAGCCTCACTGCTGCTCTGAGGAACAGAGAGAAGCTTTCTGCCTCATGCCATCAGCCTGTTCAGTGACTGACCTTAAGTACTACTGGAGCTGGAGTGAGTTACTTTTAAAGTCACGTGCACAACTGCTATCACATAGGATTTAATATGTAGAGATTTTGGTAGATTATATATTTGTATTACAGATTTGTAGGTTTTTTTTTTTTTATTCAGCCCAATCAAGCATAAATGTACTACAAAGTCCATCAATTCGTTATCCAATGCTAATGCAGGGTCATGGGGATAGCGTCTTAATTTCACTTTGATTTGGAGGCACTTCCGGGTTCTAAGGTTCAATTATCCGGCGGACCCTCCTCTAAAGAACCCCTGAATAGACCTTAACAGGGAGGCTTAAGAGTGTGATTCCCCTATTATTGGGGGGTTTGAGAGTTTTTGCCGTGACAACCTGCATCACCGGGAATCCGCCTTGGAGCATATCATGGCTCACTTGGAGTCAATGTCTCCAGACTCCCTCGGAACTTGGGGGGTTCCTCCCAACCACACCCCTCCAGGTCCAACTTCAATTTCCCCTTTGAGCATTTAAGTCCCCCAGCAGAACAAGGGAGTCAATGTCAGGGTCGCTCTCCAGCACCCCCTACAGGGTGGGTAATCTGAAGTCTTGTTAGGCTCATAAGCACAACAACAGTCAAATCAAGTCAAGTCAAACTTTAATTATATAGCACATTTAAAATAACCAAGGTTGCCAAAGTGCTGTACATAAAAAGCATGTATATGTGATTTTAATGTAAAAATAAATAAATAAAAATAAATAAATAAAAAGGTAAAAAGGTGCTCTACCTCAACCTAAGGTTAAAATGTTAAAAGCCATGTCGAATAAATGGGTTTATTCGACATTTATTCCCCCCCCCCCCACCCCTCCAATGTACAGTCCACAAGATGAGTCAACAATACTGTTTCGGCGCCTCTAACCAAGGCAAACTCCAGAGTAGAAGAGTGTCCAATCCCGATAGAGAAGACTGGAAGACTGGTTCCAGAACCAGAGCTGAGCATTGAGGGGAGTCCGGCTATTTCTAGCTGGAACCTTTCAGCCTCGCTCACCTACTCTGGCTCCATCCCCACCACAGATGTGACGTTCCACATCCCAAATCCAGCTTCTGTTAGCGAGAATTGTTCCACCTTGGGCTTCCACCAATACCACACTGGACTGACCCCTTTGGCCCCTCCTATGGGTGGTGAGCCCATCAGAAGGGTGACTCATGTCTCCCGCTGGGGCTGAGCCCACCAGGCTCCATGGGTGAATCCCTGGCCACCAGGCACTCGCCAGCGTGCCCCTCCTCCAGGCCTGGCTCCAGAGTGGGGCCCCAGGGACCAGCGCCAGGCGAGGGGGCCCTTGGTCCACTTATATGGAACATCAGAAGCGGTCTTTGGGCTTCACTTCGTCTAATCCCCCTTTCAGAACTCGTTCGTTGATAGATTTTGCTTGTTGGCTGTTAATGTGTTTCCCAAGTTTTATGAGTACATGCTGCTGCTGTTCTGTGAAATAACGAATACCAAGAAAAGGACCACAGGGTGTGTCTGTTCATCACTTGCATGACAGCTGTGGTTTGTTGTTACTGTGTAGATCTACGGTTTTGACAAAGAAATCCTAGATCTACAATCCAACATTCACACAAAGCGTGAAATATAAAGTAACTCTCTCTCAGTCAACCAACTTCAAATTTAGATTCTTTTAACATGTATTATGTTCTTTCTATAGCTGTTGAAAAAGCGGTACCTGCAGAAAACCTGTCACCCAAAACCCATCATGAATTACTTCTATCGCTGATGAAATTCAGCGATAATCATGACATCAAACTTAAAGGTACACACACGTTTAATGATTGACATTTTGTGTTAGAATAAGAACCATTTATCGGTGCCCTCACATCACTGCTCCACTGTAAGCTATTTGATCAGGAATGAGTCATATTGGTTCATTCGCCTGCTTTTCTTTTTCTGTCCTTCAGATAAAAAAACATTTACTTTCTACAGAGTGTCTCATGGAGCTTCCTTTGATGCTGATCAGCAGCTACTGGATCAAGTCAATGAATCTCCTTATTTCCATTTGAAAGAAGCAGATCTGAACGACTGTCAGATTATTTTGGTGTTCTGTACCATCAACACTCGCATAGAGTCTGATGTGAAGGCTGCCATGGAAAAAATCCCAGGTAATATGAAGACAAAACTTTATCTAAAAAAAATGATATCATCATCATGTGATTTAGTTGATAAAAGGATTAAAATCCTAAAATCAAACCAAACAGTATAAAATGCTTCACATACAGCAGCTAAACTGATTTTGAAAAACTACGAAATGCAGTGTTTAAAGAATAGAACAAGAATAATGTCTTCTAATCATCCTCCCTGAGCCTTCAAAGTGAATTTCTAACTTTGTTTTTCTCTGCTTTAATCTCAGAATCCGCTGGTGATAAACCTGTGATTCTGGTTGTGATGCACCACACCAGAGACATCAACTTTACAACAACACGGAAGAAATGGAAGGAAAAATATGAACGGGTTCAGCTTGATGTGGAAGTTCTCTTTCACAGGAGTAAGAAAGGTTTACTGACATGTGAGAAGAACCAAAAAGCAGTTGAAAGAATAAGAAAAGAAGTGGAGAAAAAATGGTTGAAAAAGGAGGAGAAGAGTGATAACCAGAGCGGAAGAGAGAAGGAGATGAAGCAGGAGGAAGGAGAAACAGAGGAAAGAATAGAGATAGGAGGAGGAACAGAGGAGATGAAGAAGGAGAGAGGAGGAACAGAGGAGATTAAACGAGACAGAGGAGGAACAGAGGAGATTACAGATTTAGGAGGAGGAACAGAGGAGATTATGGATTTAGGAGGAGGAACAGAGGAGATGAAACAGGAGGGAAGAGTAAAGGAGAAGGGGGGACATGAGTCCAGCAGGAAGAAGCCCCGGACAGGAACAGCCCTCTGAGCTCTGTGTGCTGGGACTGAATCCAGCAGCTCTGCAGCAACGTTCAGCTGGTGCAGAGCTCTGGAGTTCCTCCTCAGAAGCAGCTTGTTGGGAGCAGCTGCTCCTGTTTGGGAGCTCAGCGTCAGGGCAGCGTCCTGCAGAGGGGGAACATGTCCGACCTGCAGACGGATACTGGAACCAGACCTCACTTTGTGTCCTCATGATGGAACTGATGAGTCCAGATGCTGTTTGATGAGCTGCTGTTATCTTCTCATTAAAAAGCTCCACCACACTGTTACCGCCTCACTGAGTATGACTGATCAGAAATATTAATAACCGTTAATAATAATCAGTATCAGAATTACTTTAATAATCCCAGAGGGAAATTATTTTTGTTACAGGCTCCATAAGTTAAACAAAGGCTTATACATATATACATGTCTGTACATATATACATATATATATATAAAATTCCTCATATAATATAGCTAGATATATACATAAAAAACTATATGTATATATATAGGTCAAAATAAGTGGTGGATAATGTCAATGCTTAAGTTTGACTCTCAGTTTGACTCTCAAAGGTGATAGTAATGATAGTGATTTCCTTATCAGTCCACACATTTGCAGCCTTTAAAATGAATGCGCTCACATCCCAGCAGGTTTTATGTGAAATGTGTTTTCTCTCCAAAACCCAATCAGAACCAAACTGAGTCTGTACAGATCTGGGGTCCATTTCCCAAAGCAAGTTTCATGAAAACTCTGTGTTTGTTAACTCCACTTTAATTAATTAATTCACTGAGAATTAAATATTCATCAAGAGAAATTTATCAGAGCGCCTTTAGAAGTTATTTCCAGAGAATCATACATCTAATACATCCAGCACCTTACATTTACAGCTTTATAGCATCAATGCTGTCACATCCCAGCAGGTTTTATGTGTAGTGTTTCATTTAGTTTTTAATCCCACATTTATTGATGCATTTCTGCACATTCGTTATGAGAATGTTGAACAGAAATGGTGTTCAATAACACTGTGAGAAGATAAAAGACGGTTTGCTCTTTCTTCTGTTCAGTCGGAGCTCTTTGGTCTGCTGTCCTGCAGGTGTAATGTACCCTTGGCTTCATAAGCTGTTAAAAGAAGAAAAAATAAGTAAACGTCTGTTCATTAGTCTGTATGTATGTGTGAGAGAGATAGCTGGCATTTATGGGGTTAACTACGCCGTACTACGCGGTTCTGCAGCTGTGCACAGAGCTCTGGGATATTGAAAAAAAACGCGCTGTTCGGTTGCAGGAGGAACTTTCTACTTGGGAAAAGTGGAGACGCAGAAGTGGATAAAAGTGAGCGAAATAGCTTTAAAAAACATTGCGAGCCGATTCCAGAATCCACGTTTGATGTTCTTTTCTCGGCGGTGAGTTTAATGTGCATTTTGAGTGAAGGAGCGTCGAGTACAGGTGTGCTAGCGTCAGCGCTAATTAGCCGCTAACGGCTAATTCGATATCACATGCGTTAGCCGTCAGTGTAGCAGCCAAAGTTAATTAACATTGAACTCAGCTACCAGAGCTTACCAATGAGCTAATTGCTAACACTGGTGAAGTAAGACCTATAAGAATAAAATGAGATTGAAATATTTTTGCTAATTTATTTCTATTGATATATAGGTCATATTTGTGTTATTTATTTTAATTAAGGAACTATAGGCTGTAGTAATTTAGTTTACTGAGATGAATGAATGTGGCCTGTCCTACAGGTCAGGATTTTGTGAGAGGATGTGACTCGGTGATGTTGAGAGAGAGACATCAGCGACACCAGAAGTCGGCTGACTCCAAGCATCCATAAAATTGGCTGGTGAGCTGGAACAGAGGAGTCAAGGACAACTGAACTGACCTCCCGAACCTGCAGTGTGGTAGGACAAGTGAAACGTTTTAAAGGGCCCCAACGATACCAAATGAAAAATAAACTGAGCTCATAATAAAAAAAACAAAAAACAAATAGATAATAAGGACTAAGCACCGCAAAGGATATATTTTAGTTTTTCCTATTTTTTATTTTATTTTCTTGTGCGCACTTTATTATTTTTTCCATACTATGGATTATTGCCATATTGTTCATGTTGATGGCTAACGATACAGTTTTTGAAACTAAGTTTTGTGTGAGTGTGGTCAACGTTGATGTTCCATGCTGGGCTCCATGAGCGTTACCTTAGAATCCTGATAATTGGTCCTAAACTGTGAACTTAAAACCCCAAATTACCAGTAATTCTCAACAGGAAAGAAAAAGGGGTTACATTCTGGTTTTCTCTGCTCCAGCTGATCCACTTCATCAGAATCAGCTGTGTAGAAGCAGGAAGCCTCTAAAACCTGCATGCCGGCGGCCCAGAGAGCACCAGGTGGACCCCTGAGTTAGTTTATCCACATTAAAACATGAGCGTGTACTACTGTACTCTCTGGTACTTCTGGGAGGCTGACGGCCCGTCCTCTCACTTCAAGTCAATTATAGAGATTCTGAAGTCAGGAACAAAGAGATCCTGATCAGTTAAAGAATCAAAACGCATGTCAGTGATAATCAGTGAAGCTTTATTAGAGACATCAGGATTAACTGTTACTGAGACTCTTAAAGCAGCTCATGAATCATGCCCACATATTTGGGTGCACAGATAGAAGAGATTATTAATGCAACAATTAAAAATTCCAATACTTTGTTATTGCTTAGGCAACAACTCTCTGGGGCTCAGGCTATGACATAAATCTAGTTTCAGGGTTTGGTTAAAGTATTTTCTAATCGGATTAAGTCCAAAGCATGCATGCTTTAAGACATCAGTTTTCCATCTGGCTGACCTGAATTAAGAGGGGTTAGCTGAAGACCACTTTTGATGTTCTCAGGGAAGTTTTTAGGCGTTTTTTATTATCTCTGTTTTCTGGGGTCACAGA